GTTTACTTCTCTGTGTTGGACTCTACAACAACGGTTGTTCCCGCTGAGTTGGTTCTCTCCATGGAGTAACCAGTAGCCACTGGTCGTAAACCTGCTGCTTTAATTCGAATTTCTGTCGGTAGCAGGTTCCGGAATTTACCCCAGTTCTCTAGAACTGCCCGTACAGTTAACTCAGACGATAAGACCAACTTCAGCAACCTAGGACCACACCCTTTGTAACTTGTTGACACGGGAATCCTGGTCATGGAAGTAGCAATGACATTTTCTAAAGACAGCGCCTCACGAATGTATCGCCATTGCTCCAGATAATGTGCCTGAGCTTCTTCAGGATGTGAAGCTTGAGACTCAGGGACGCCATGAATTATGTCGGTTTTCAGCGCATGTTTTCTACTTCCCTGTTGATTGTTCATATCCTTTGAACGTTCTTTCCATGGAATATCCGGTAAGATACATATTCCGTTCAATGCTCTGTGATGTTGATTTGCAGCGAGCTGAATGGATTCCGTTTCTTCCGCGGAATGTAGTGTTACTCGAAGTAGTCGAGGTTCACCGTAGTGTAAGTTGTTTGGGTGCCTTGCGATGCGGCTCAACTTAATGAGTTCAGCGCGCATGCTGATGGCACTACAGATGGAATCCCACTGACTACGATCGTCTATCAGTTTGCCCTTTATTGTATTGGATTTGGATTCAGGAACGTTAGTGCACACAAGACTTAAGGCACCATGATTCCGCCTCGTGGTTTGTGACTTAACATCACAAGGTTCTTTTGCTTTTGTGGATTTGTGAACCGCACTGGCGATAGCGATCCATGTTGAGGCACAGTTTTGACCTCTCCGATAAGTGAAGTCACAGGTGTCTTTAATGGTGTTTTCCTAGAAGCAACCGCTGCGTAGGATGTTAAGTTATATTTTACCGTAGGCTTGCTGGAGTTTTGTGTGTCGAGTATGTCAACTGAATTACTAGTTATTACACCCTTGGAGGACGTAGTAGTAAGTGGGTTGTAAACGACTTTTTCACTTAGTGGAGTCATGAGGCTAAGGGCCGTTGGAGACTGAGACGTGATGGTGGGGTTGGAATGACTGGCCCTCTTCCTCGGCCTAAACGGGGAGTTTGTAGGTGTCCGTTCAGTTTCAAGTATGGCGTTGTTTACTTTCACAGCTGCTTTGCGAGCGTTCACTAGTTGCTCAACTGTTTCCGCCAACTTTTCACACTTTTCATTAGGAAAATTACACAACTAACGACGGGAATGGATTTGCACACTTGGCAGAACCAAAATGCTTCGGTTTTGCTGCTGTTTTGTCTAGTTTCGAGTGCACTCATCCCTAAACACTTCGAATGGTACGCTTTTTGACAGTTAAAGCAAACTGGACCAGACTTAACGGTTTTCACACATAGGTCACAATTGACTTTCGACTTGAGACGTGTACTTTGTTATTTTGACTTGCACCAATTCCAAAAGGGATTAGATAAAAAAGGAGAGTTCAGAATCTATGTTGTAGATTTCTCGCTTACCACTAGCTTAGAATGGATAATTCTACTGAATTATGTGGTCAGGGTCAGTAATGGGGCAGCGAAGTGGGAATGACCGCAGATGGTGGTGATATGGTGTAGAGATTCATCACTAACAAGACGGAATGGAGTAACTGGATTTGTGCACTACACCAGGGGTAGCAAGAGGATAGAGAGACTGACGCACCGTGTATGACTTCGCTTCAGTTTTCGTTGCGCGGCGATCGGCGCTGGTTTGAGGTCAGGGGGGTCAGACGTGTGGCGTCCAGATGAGTCACCCGTTCCTTAGAGTAGATATGCGATGTGCGTGCTGTTGATCCAGCAGGTAAGTGGAAAGGTAGCGGTGCAACGTAGGACTGAGGCAAGGCACAATGACTTGGAAAATACTGTCTATTGACGACAGTGGCTGCACAAAAGGCGGACCAAATTGACAACTATCGCTTTGTACAGCGAGTAGAAGAAGTAATAGTAAGCTGATCGGGTGACTCTCAAAAAGATCTTTAAAATAAGACCACAAGAGTTCTTGTGCGACGAGGGAAAAAATAAATTGTCCGATATAAATTCAAGCACGGTTGACTTCGAAATTGCAAAAGCACCGTTTGCTGCTGATCCGGGAATGACAGATCCAAAGGTGAACAGTGGTAGGAGGAGCTCGCGGAGACCAATCGAATGATAGTACGTAGGTCACTATGAGAATAAACCCAAAGATTTCAGAGCGAGTAACGCAGCAGGACACTTTTTGCGACCGCTCGGTAGAGTTCAATGAACAAGAACTTTTCGAGCACCCGTACGTATGTTTACATGAAAGATACCACAGACTTCAACGATAGGTAGGTTGTTTTCAAATTTGACCACTGTGTAAGATTTGCAGTTCTATAAATGTCGGCTTATCTTAAAAAACAAAACGAATGTTGTCGTTGAAATGATATGCTTGTGATTGGCGTAGCAATCACGATAGTATAATTAATTTCACAAATCTTTCGTTTTTAATAAAATTTGTCGGGTAACAATAAACTAACTACAATAAACTGGAAATCCATTGCTGCCAAATTATGAAAATTAAAGATTTCAGTATTTGAATAAAACCGCCGTCCTAGAAATGGTGCCAATTTATTGGAATCAATTTAACCGAATACTAGCAAATAAATGCCTATTCGAGGGACCATGTGCCACAGTAGATTAACCGTCATCGTATCACACCGAAACGGTGCGATTTCTACACCGAAAAAGTTATTATCAGTTTTGGTCATCCTAAATACCTTACATAATGCAAAAGGTTTAATTGATGTAGATCGTAGCAAGGCAATAAAACACAGAATGAAATTCAACTGCCATGTATATCTGGTTAATGGGCGCTTCATTGCAGGTCACTAATTTGGCACAGCAAGATAAACTGATGCGCAAGTTTCCGTTGGAATGCCGTTTGAATGGTCCAGAACGGATACAGTCCTCGGGATGCTTCCGTGCACAGTTCCAAGGTCATACCGCTTTGGATCAACGGAAAGTCATCGATGAGTTACAACGAACAAAAGCTACCGAAGAAGTCACTTACGATATAGATCCGTTTCAGTACCGCTTCCGTAAGTAAACTTTGTAGTGCGATACTGCGGGTGCATTACGCTAGGCAATGGATTGCATTATTGTCACTAATAAACCTTAGAAACTCTAGCGTAATGTGTTTAAGTTGTTTTTACAGAACAACGCATCCTGCTGAACGCATCAAGTGAGTTGTCTTTCCCAGACTGTTTAAAAACAAGCTAATCGTTTACGTTCATTGGTTAATGGCTTGAAAATCGGTGGTATGGCTGCTCGAAATGCATTACATTATACACTTGCTTATTGATTTTTCATAAGGAAGAATTTCGTCAAAAAATTTACACCATGGGCAATAAGAAATGAATTTGTTGTTTTGTATTCATACATTTTATCAGAAGTTAAAACGTTTTCTGATACTTGCGGAGTGACTTCAGATCCTGTACACGTAATGGGAGTTGATGCTATTCTTTACTGTCGTGTCTATATCAATGCATACGTGCCAATAGTTTAATGTCATAACTCGCAACCGTTAACACCCATTGGACTAAGTGTGGCCCTGCTCCTCATTGGCTGAGTCGACCGTATGTTCGTGTGCATGTCGCCATACACTGAAACCATTGTGCATTGTTCATATTGTGTCCATACAGTTGTCCGGTTATTTCTTCAGTTCGCTGCTTTCTGGGACACAACGCGTGCCACTACAGTTATTTATACGTAAAAGTTATCTAAAGTGAGAATACTGCTAAACTTTTGGGACTGTTTTCATGTACAAGTTGACCAACATATGCTTTATATGTGACAAAGAGACTTTGGCGGGTGAATTGATTAATTTAAAAGGGGAAACTAGCAGATGGAAATTGGATGTTGCACGCCCGAAAACGCTGCACAGCGACAACGCGTTTTGACGTTATTTCTCTTATCCGATGAAGATATTAGACTTCGAACTCGTGACTATTATCATAGTATTGCTAATGAGAAGGAAGATTTTCGGTTGTAATTGTAATGTGTTCTTCCCAGCTGCTCCCAAGCTACATAACACAGCCTAGTCCGGAAAAGCAGCAGACGCCCTTCGCCCTACTGGTGCTCGTCAGTCGGTCCCTTCTTTGGATCTAACCCATAACTGCTAGACGCAGATGCCAAAAAGCCAACGGCTTAAGCCACTGGGCCATGGTGGACGTCGGCTGGGTTACACAAGTTGCAGGCTAATTGGGATATAGCATGACCTATCTTCCACTGCCACGCAGGTTGCTACCTTAGCAGATGACGGTGGCTTGCTTCTAAAGGCCATGACTTCCTCTCACTACACGTTACGTCCATAGTATCCGAATCTAGCAGAGGCTACATTGGAATAGTAGCAGAAATCTGTACTCCATTGGCTACCGGGTCACCAGAGGCAACACTTGGCTGACTGATTGGAGCGTCATACTGTAGATTACACGTTGTGTGATTGGATTGCGGCGCGCAATCTCAATGTGGACCGCGATACGCAGTGAAGTGAACCTTGGTCACTGCGGTCGCCGGTAGAAAGGTTCACTTTAATATGAATCGCGGTCCACATTAAGATTGTACGTCGCAATCCAATCACATAAGGTGCAGTCCACAATTGTCCCTCTAATCAGGAAAAATAGCTTACTTCATGAAGTTTTGGTTTGGTTGGATAATAAACAGGTATAGCTGCGAGATGGATATAGGATATTCACAAATCTCTGTATGGAGTAACAGTCAAGCTATCTCCGTCATTAACGGATAGAAAGGTCACATTTCCTAAAGATCAAGTCCAGCTTGAACTGAAGCTCACATCCGCGTTTTGGGTTAATGGTTACATGTGCATTATTTTAAAATTATGATTTCCACCTAATTATCACAAGGACATAGCTCATTAAGTAATGAGCTGCTTAACACCATTAACAACACCTGTGGCATTTTTTAATTCTTGTTTTGTCAATAATAATTGATGAGTTACTAACACTTGTTGATTGGAGTGCGGTCAAAGCGGTTTTCGAATAAGTGCTCCGGTTAACCGGATCGAAAGCCATTGATGAGAAAACAACTGCAATTTGAGAGGTGCCTCCGTTACTTGCCGACAGGTTATGCGCTTTCAATTTGCAAAAGCCATATGTCGAGACATTTGCTTGCTATACCTGAGTGTAGCTAATTTTAATGCTAACACGCAGACCCTGCTCTATTATCCTACTGATTCTGGGTTAAGATAAGTTAAACATGCACATGTGCATATAAAGCAATCTATTTTGTTGGTTGACCGTTGATTTTCACCATGATTTTCTTATATTACATGACTTATATTGAGCGAGTAGCTTCAATACTTTCCCGCGTATAAGACATCAGGGGCGGCTGAAATGCACGACAATCTTCCCAGTTGTGTAACAAAAGACCGATTGTAGGGTTCCGGTTTGCAACAACAATCGTCATATTTTCAAAGTATTCAAGTCTTTGCGATTGGCAGACCGCTTGGTTAAACTCCATGAAATAGTGTATGAATGATTGAGTGGTGTACATTGGAAGGAAAACTGCACTTTTTATTCCGGGTCAGAGCTATGTCTGGTACTGTTCCATTTTCAAATTGGACAGTTGCCTTGACAATCGAGGTAGCGATCTTGATGTACATGGTCATGCGAGTGAGCGCACATACGTAGCGTGGAAGTGTATTCAGAAGAGCAATTGCATTATATATAGTCAGATCCAGCAAGTTTACTTTGAAATACTACTGTTTAGATTCTTACTATCCTACGGTACTCCAAAGCTATATCCTTCCTTATTTGCCATGCACGCACATCTGGATTTGCCAAAGGCGTTTTGATTGAACTATAACCGAGTTTCGCGACAAACCATGATGTGACTTACCAGTTTCTGCATTCACCTACCTCACCCATAATGGATCGTACCGTTTTGCTATTCACAACACCTCCACTGGTTACCTACAATTTATTATATCCTCAACTCAACAGCTGAAACATGCGCCTGAAGCATGATACGTGACTGCAGCACAGATCATCTTCCGAGGGGACTAGTGTATCTCGGTAGGAATTCCGTTTGTACACATTGCGAAAATCGTTTGGCCGGAGCCAATGCTATGCACCATTCACCTAGATGACCAAAACAAAGACCAATGCGAGTAGGAGATTGCGGTGTTATCATATTACTTCCTACACTTATTCATAGATATTGATTGGTCGTGAACCATATGCACACTTATCGGTCATTGGTCGAATGTGCGCTTGCTGTCGATCGGCTTGTGTGAATGGTTTAAGAGTGATAACTGTTGTTCCGTGTTGGTTGTGTCCGAATATCCGTTCAGTACACTGATTTCCTGTTCTGATTTCACGGACGTTACCGAAATGAATGCTTTTAGTTTACCTGGTGATGCTGGTGAGTATGCTCAAGGGCTTCACACTATGGTACTTAGCTGTACTGGTGTCTGTGCGCTATGACAGATTGCAGTACCGAGTGCAGGTAATGATTGGCAGAGAAAATTGTGGCCTGCGCTTGCTGAAATGATTCGGTGTGTTCCTAATGCTTGATGCTTTAGCAGTTTATCCGAGTTTGCCTTTTGATCTGATTCAGACGGTTGAGGACCTGATGCATTTAACCCGACATCAAAGTGAACAGGTGAAAGGTTAAATTTTTTCATCAACTTAACTAGTAATCGTCCATGATTTCTAGACGGTACCGTGTTATTTTCCGTTTTGATTCTTAGGTTTGCGCCATTCTCTCTATAAGTACAAAATGGAAATTTCTACTTATTACCAGTATTTAAGACAGTGAAACCGAGGCTTCGGGAACTAAAGGTCTAGGGAACATAATCTAACAGCTCAAGGCATGATACGTTAAAGTGGTGTGTTGTTTAGCACGCGTAAACAACGAAGTAGTTAATGCAGTTAAATGTTATGAAAAATGATTGATCTAAAATTTCACTATGTTTACTAATGTTTAACATATTCAGACCGTAGAGCTTATAACGGTAGTTGTGTTCTCTGCGCGGAATACTAGGATATTGCTGCAGACATTTTGTAGCAGACTCATCATCTAAATTTAATTAATCCACTAGTCACTTGCTGAACATCTAGAATTCAAAGCAACAATAAAAATTAATTTGCGTTAGCCAAATTTGGCATCACATGAGATGCATGATAAAATCAGTAGAAATACACTTAAACAGATATTTCCATGGAAGAAACACTCAATCTGAACAAAAACACCTCCATTAACTAGGTGGAATAAAGCGGCGTTATGCAACAAATTAAATCTTGCAAAATGTAAAGAGACTTAAGACACATTCACACACTTCCAGCACCTTTGTTGAATAGGAAAGACCCACAGAAGATCGACTTGTTTGAAGGAGATATTATTGGAATAAGACACAGTTATTTATGTTCTTTAACTCCAGACGAAGAAAATTAATGTAAGTAGGATAATGATAGTGCACTGAAAAACCTACCAGGTACAACAAACCCCCGGTAACCGTCGTCACCATGCGAGCGGGATGGCACAGAAGGTATTTGATTGCATTACCAATAAAAAAAATATGTACACAAACAGTTAAATTTAAGGAAAAATTAAGGAAGCAAATGTCAAATAAGGAATATGTGCGACCGTAATAAAATGTAGCCATTAGAATTTACAGCAAGGTACAAAGCATGCGACTACTTTTTTTCTATTGTAATTGGAAAAATGAAATATAAGAGAAGATATTTTTACTGCATTGCTAAATGGTAACTTATTCAGACAAAACAGTTTCAGAATCCCCACCGGGTGAGGACGGTGAACCAAGTGAGTTAGAAAAAAATTCTTTGGTACCTTCCATACTGGCAGTTGGGTGTGAATGAACCAGAGACTGAAACATGTTTCATGAAAAGAAACTCGATGCTAATAACTGTACTGCAACAAATAATGTTCCGACGGACTCTGGAACAATCGTAAGATTCTTCCTGTCAATAATAATACGTGAAGCTTGTCAATGCTTCTTATGTTAGGAGTTCATGCACAATGGGTCTTGAAAATCCTATATGATCTATTACCAGGCTAAGACGCAGATATCTCTCCGACCTCATTCAACTTATCCAAATTGTCTAAGATAACGATTTACGCCTAATGCGTCCTTCATCCCCGGCGCTGCAAATTCGTACGCTGACCGCCTTTGTCACCGAAACACTTGTAGATTTGACCAAGCATTTGGCTTCGAAACATGATTATTGGTCGCTGACCATTCATGTTTCACAGAAATATTCGTCTTGTATTGCATCATTACATACCACCGATGGTTTAACATTAACCGCATTTTTTCCGCTGACACTAACAGCTCAATTCCACCGGACAAATATTGGATATTCTAAATAACATCCAAATTCAACCGTTTAGCTTGCCAACTTTGCCGTCCGACGCATCAGTATTTTAATATTCGGGATAAAATGCGAAAATTAAATAGAATCACGAAGTGAAATGCGTTTTGGTGGACTGAACATAAACTTGTATAGAAGAGCGGAGATCTTCATGTATTAAAAGTATTAATCCATAAGCCTATTGGTTAGGATTTTCGTAAGACACCGTTTGGTTACGTTTTATATCCTCTGACTAACAAGTCATAGAATGAAATGTAAATGAGACGACTCATCGTCAACTTGTTAGTGAAATATCGCCAGATTTGGAGCAGTGACGATATAATTAGTGAGGGCGTTCCAAGTTTGGTACACGCGGAGGGAAAGGAAATTGCTACGGCATTCAATCCGGCTATACTGTATCGTCAATTTCAGAGGATGACCTCTTAGGTTACTGTTGTGGTTCAATTCCAGCAGCAAGAGGCAAATGTGCGTTGAGTTCTTCGGCATCTGGTAAACCATTATGAGGTCCACGCAAAAGCCGATATCGACTGCTGTACATTCTTAGAGAATTCAGTCTAAGCTGATAGGGCAGATGAAAGAGGCCCTTGACCTTCTTGGTTGCCTTTCGTTGAGGAGGCTCGAGAGCAACGAGATCCTGTTTCTCCCACGGCTGCCACGCCTGGATAGCATATTTCACGTGCGGTCGCAAGTAGGCCTTCAGAATTTGTGAGAAGATTGAGGATTTAGACCAACTGAAGGCTCTGTGAAGCAGGCCGAAGTGTTGCTTGCCGGTTCTCGTCGTCTTCTTTGTTTGATTTGAACAACCGAGGTCTTCCTGTACCAGTACACCCAGGTCACGCTCCTGAGAGACCTTCTCCAAGGTGTGGTCTCAAGCTTGTAAGCGCTCACCGGTAAGTGATGCAGATGCATCACCTTGCATTTAGCTATGTTAAACTGAAGCAGCTTACTCTTTGGCCATTCATAAATTCAATCCAGGTCATGTTGCAGTAGATCGTGATCTACATTGTTAATATTCGCCCGTCATATATTGATGTCATCGACGAAAAGCAGGAAATTTGCGAAGATAACTCTTGCCAGCTCGTTGATAAACACCATGAATAAGCGCGGTCCCAAGCACTGAGCCTTGTGGGACACCACATTCCACCTCAATCGGGTTAGAGAGTGATTCCCTAATGCCTACTTGGGGCTTCCATTTGTGAAGAAGATTGCCAATTCAAACAAGCACTGGATCTCCAATTCCGTATCTCTGTAGCCAGAGAAGTGGAATGCGGTGATCCAGCCGGTCGAAAGCTTTGGAGAAGTCCAAATAGATGACGACAACTCCGAACTTATCATCAGCCACTTCCGCCCAACTACCTCGTGCCAGTTTCAGGTTAATGGTGCAAGAATTGTGTTGACGAAAGCCCTGCTGCTCCAGAGACAAGATGTTGCGTTTTTCCAGGTAGTCCATTAAGCCTCACCGACGACCGCTTAGATCACCTTCGCGAGCACAGTGAGGAGAGACAATGGGCGATAGTTTGCAAGCTCTGGACGGCTACCGCCTTAAAAACCTGAGGTGAAAATGCCACGCTTCCAAATAGTGGGAACTTGCTGTTCATCAAAACACCTTTGTAAAAATGTGGCAGTGGTTCAGCTAGCTTGCTGGCCGCAGCCTTCCGTGTTTTCGGACGGACATTGTCTGCTCCCTGAGAGCTGTGGGCGCGCAGTAAGAGTAGCTTCACTGGCACAACTGATGATGTGAGTAATACATTTGTAACCAATGGAGTCGGTAATGTGCATGACATTATGGGACAGTTGGAGGTTGCGAGCTCGAAAATTGGGGCGTACTGTAGCCGCAGGGCATTGACTGATTATTCGGCCCTTTGTACTCTACTGTCTGTCGTGAAAAGTGGAGGGATGTCATGCTTCCATTTATGAAGATTATTAACATGCCTATCCAGCAGTTTGTTGTTTGCCAACAACCTTTTGGCTAAACGCTGGTGATAAGTTACTTTGTCTTCACTGACAAGTGCCATGCAATGATTGCGATGGGTCAGGAAATTAGCCCAGTTCTCTGTGTCGGGGTTAACTTTGTAGGTACGCCATGTAGCATCCCCTATCGCCAGTCATTTGCGAGTCCAGCTCCTTAGAATTGAAGGCATTTTGGTGGGCGGAGGCGGCTTGGTCTCCAATGCTCTATTGACGACGTCGCTGAGTCTATCAACGAACTCTGTCCAAATGTTGTCAAGTGGACTGTTAGTTGAGAATGCCCAAGCAGCTGCGTTACTGAGGCCTTTCAGTACATTGTGGCGTGTGATGGTATTAGTTAATTCCGAGTGTTCCGTTGGATGCTCTGCATAACACATAGTCGCTACATGATCACTGAGACCTAATGGCCTATCCATCAAAAACTTGTCAACCATGAGTTCTTCATCCGAGAGCACGAGGTTCAATAATGACAGCTTGTTTGCTGTCCTGAATCTAGTGGGAATGGTGGGAATGTTAACGTGCAGTTCATGTTAGTCTGCTTTGAACTGTTCACTGGGTGATGCCGATACCTCCAGCTTGTGTCGATTGAAGTCCCCGGAGTTGAGAATCTGGCTGTACCTAGTGAGCGTTACTCTGTTCAGGACACATTTCAAGCAGGAATCCATTTCCGAAGAGGACGTTGGGAGCGGTAAACGACAACTACGAGACATGCGCTGTTGTGTCTTAGTCGGAGATGGCACCAGAGGTAGTCGGTAACGTGAGATTTCAGATCAGCCACCATTGCACGCTGCATGTCGCTGCGGTATTAGTGTAGGACCCAACCTCCTCTGCTGGGGCGGTCGTTCTGGATGAGTGACATACTGTCAATCCCAACCTCAGCATCGGTCACCTCTTGTTGTAACCAAATTTCGGTAATAGAAATTAAGTCCCAAAGATTAGCAACCTGACGTAACCGAATTTCCGTAGTTTTACTGTGGAGCCCTTGAGCGTTCGTGTATATACACGCAAGTTTCTCAGATTTAAGCCGTGTTTCGGAACTTGTGTAACTCATACTTGGCGTTTCACCTACCAGTGAATGGCCGGCGACTAATCGTCTTTTCGCTGCGTACTTGGTGAAGGGTTTAACGTCTTATTCATCGTCCGCGTAGTTAGTCCCGTATCTCATCTTCTAAGTACAGTGTAAGATGTCTGGTCAACATCATCTTCTGCAGGTTGTATGGGCTCATTAGGCAAACTACTGGTGCATTGTTCTTTTATAGATTCCATCGCGGTTGGTTCTTCGAGTGACATACCATCTCTAGTAGGCATATCGCTAGATGTCTTCAGCCGAAGCTTAGATGGTGTGCTATAAGACTATAATGAAAGTCCAAAATCATGTATCTATTTGTTTTACACTCTATTGTATATTGAAATAAAACCATAAGCGATGAAGTTTTCACCGCGCACATAATTCGTCACCCCTTCAGACAAAACAGTTTCAGAATCCCCACCGGGTGAGGACGGTGAACCAAGTGAGTTAGACAAATATTCTTTGGTACCTTCCATACTGGCAGTTGGGTGTGAATGAACCAGAGACTGAAACATGTTTCATGAAAAGAAACTCGATGCTAATAACTGTACTGCAACAAATAATGTTCCGACGGACTCTGGAACAATCATAAGATTCTTCCTGTCAATAATAATACGTGAAGCTTGTCAATGCTTCTTATGTTAGGAGTTCATGCACAATGGGTCTTGAAAATCCTATATGATCTATTACCAGTCTGAGATGCAGATGTCTCTCAGACCTCATTCAACTTATCCAAATTGTCTAAGATAACGATTTACGCCTAATGCGTCCTTCATCCCCGACACTGCAAATTCGTACGCTGACCGCCTTTGTCACCGAAACACTTGTAGATTTGACCAAGCATTTGGCTTCGAAACATGATTATTGGTCGCTGACCATTCATGTTTCACAGAAATATTCATCTTGTATTGCATCATTACATACCGCCGATGGTTTAACATTAACCGCATTTTTTCCGCTGACTCTAACAGCTCAATTCCAGCGGACAAATATTGGATATTCTAAATAACATCCAAATTCAACCGTTTAGCTTGCTATCTTCTTTGTTCGACACCTCAATATTTTTAATATTCTTGATAAACTGCCATACACAAGTATCACATTTTGAGACGACAGCAATTCGCTTCGGAATTTAGGTGATCGCACAGCATTAAGGGTTTAACTGCTTTTGCCATTTCTATTCTTTTTACCTGGCTATTGTGGGCATGATTTTAATGGTAAAGTAAATTTTTTAGTTGTCGGTTATAATATTTGTTAAATGTTTACGTTTTGAATCATTTGTGAACTTTATTTTTATTATGTGCTTCTTAACTCTTCTAACTGTATCATGCAGTGTCTTTTGAATGCGTCTACCAAATCAACTTTGCTCGCAATATTATGTCTTTTGTGTCATGTTTGCAATTGTGCTTGATTATATTTCAGGTTTTTCATCTGGTGTTCTGAGGATTGTGTTAAATTCAACCTTAAAATTAAGCACTTCCTTGAACATATCCGCGTTCACTTTGTTTCGAAACTAATGTGTTTCCGGTTTTAATTCTAGTCCATTATCCAAAGAAACAACATGGAACTTCGACCAAGAATGATAAACATAAGGTATTGTTACTGTCGAACAATTTAGTGTGAAATTTTTGCATTCACTTCGCTTCAAGCTGCTCAGTAGTTTACTGTCTACAATTCACCTTGCGTGCATTCCGTATACCTGGGGAATAAGATTTCTGACCCCGTAAAAGCTCTAAGTGTAACACAAGCTATTGGTTGATTAATAGGTTTTTCAACAATCTATTCTTCAGGTATATATAGAATCATCTGATTATATCTGCATTTTGAAATGACTGAGTTTGTCCCCAAATAACTGAAACATTATAACCCTCTAATTTCAAAACCACGGAACAATATTCGGCTCAACAGCCTCGTGTGGATGAGTCCGTGCAAAGTCCAGAATTAATATAATCAACCGGCTCTCAGTCTTAGCTAATTATTTTCGGCCATCATGATTGAAGCTGACTTATATCCTTCGCCCAATAATTCTTGAGGTCTCGCGTTTGTCAGGAGTAATGGCCAGCAATCCAAGGTGCATGTGATCGAATTGCACGATCCAGCTTTGACAAACCGAATAACTTGAGACAAAAAGTCGAAGATCTAACTCCTTCTCTCACCCCTATACTAATACAAATGATAAAATGGGAAAAGATCAAACTATAAAAGTTTGCTAAGCAAGCGTTTTCTTGTTTCGATTTACAGCGATTTCCATCCGTACTGTGTATGTCGATGGTTTATTGGAAGCCTGAAACATGGACGTCTTAGTTGGAGCGGATTTATGGCAAGTGAAATTGTCGAACACTGTTACGCTTACAGAGTGCCTTGACTTTGCCTAAACCATATCAGCCAAACCGTTAGTGGATTTATCTCATTAGAAGAGTACAGGGTCGATGTTAAAAATGCTCGCTGTGTCCGTCCTGTGGAATTGTGGACATCTGCTCTCCATACATCGGCAAGGAGTAAAATGCCAGCCGTAAATTACGGACTCGTTGTTGACACATACATAACGGCATAACCAGATGATCTTTTGCCCAAGGCAGATGTTACGCGAAGCGGAATAAATGAGTTCTCAACAAATGTCTCTCTAATAGCATGCACATACTTTATGGTACTTTTAATCGGGTCAAAGGCAGTACCTGGTGCTTAACAGCTTAGAAGGAAGCAAAGGAAAACATCTACGAATCTGTCACTAGTTTGCTTGCTTGTTATCCAGTAACATGTCTTAAAAGTGCTCCGAATATCTAGTAAAATCGCACATTATTACAATCTTTAATGTGCAGTAAGCAAAACCCAATCTTTTAGTATCCTTCTAAGAACAAGCTCTACCCACTGGTTTGCAAACTGTTGGTTTGCCACAACTCGCTTTCATAATTAGCGGAATTTACTTTAGCTTAGCGAATATCGGACGTTCGTATATTTGATTTCACCGTTCATTGCTTCTCTCTTTCCACAGAATGTATCAGTGCACCTGGAACTCAAGCGCAACGTACAACGGAAAATAGCGCATTTGGCATATACTTATAAATTTGTTTGCTTGTCCGCGAACTTCATTACAAATAAGTTGCTTACGCTGCTTTCATTTTTGTTTGCTTCGTTCCGAGAAATCCATTGATTTCCAGCACGTAAGCTGATATGAGTAACATTGCCACTGCAGGAATGCGTAACAACAAGATGTATTGTATCCAAGAAATCCAAGGATTTTGTAACCGAATGGATAGTTTTGTAGCTATATTTAGCAGTTAAGAATGGAGTTAACTGCCAATTCAGTATAATCTGTTATCTTCCATTTATCTCAAAATAAGTAAGTAATCTAAGTATCCATAACACAGCTTCTTCAGTGATTCAATACCACTGTAAGAATACACACCAGACCAAAGATGGAACTCTATGGATCTCTAAGACATTTCATTGTATAAAGTAGCCAAATAGGCAGAAGAATTAATGCAAACGTACCTGATTATTGGAATTTTCTGCAGCTGGATTTATAGGTCCCTCTCAATCGCCACATATGTATTGGTATCCCTAGAGGATTTGCGTCTCTTGAAGACAAAGTTTCAACAAAAGACACAAGTGTCCATAACGGTAGATAACGTATAAAATCCGTAAGGTCTGATTATGAAAGTGACTATGTAGGTTGGCCCAAGTAAACTGAATGGATATGAGCTCAGAGTACAATGGAATGTAAAGCATCTAAAGAACGTATTATGAAGATGAAAAGGCATACATCTAACAGGTTCAGTAGTTTGGTCAGGGAGAGGGTCGTTGATAAATATATCTCTCGTCGGTGCGAGATACAGTTCAAAAGGCCCTGATGATGTTGTACAGAGGCATGTCACAAAGTAGATAATTCAAAGTTAAACTTGGAGTACCAACTGTGTGGTTGGATTGCGACAGACAACCTCTACTGAGACCTCCGTTTACTTTGAGGTAGACCTTAGCCATTCCGATCGCAAGACATTTCGATGTTGCTTCTCTGAAAATGGACATTTGTTCAATTGGTTTAAGTTAGCTCCTTAACACGTCTTCAAAGCGGGTTACCCGTTTGTGTTAACTTGCGTAATATCTGGCAGTAAATATAATTGTATATACAATCGAACGCCTAACTAAAGCAATACAGCCAGCCGTGGAACCTGCTTCTATGCATAGTCCCTCGAAAGTTTTCATCTCCCAGTTCCACTATCCATGTTCCGGTGTGGCGCAACCAACACCACATTTTCTTATCTTTAACACCGTTTTGATGTGCAAACAGAAAGAACACCCAAGCAATCCATTGCCTTTTATCTTTTTAATTGTTTCGAAGTAGGCATATTGATTTCTCACCAATGAGCTCGTGGTAATTCACGCCACGTGGGTGCACTGATGTTCTTGGAAGCAGTAATCTGCCCCTTCTGAAAGCCGGTCTACTCGGGACCAAAACTAACAAACAAGAAAATGAGAGAATAGAAATCAATGAGCATAAAATATAAACGGTGCATTTCTCTTTAGTAAGAGTTACAGTTCGGCGGATCGTCCGGTTCCGTGTGAGCACGGGCATCGAAGAAAGTAAAAAAGCGTTGCAGATATTATGAACAGTGCAGCGCCCAAAAGATTGTACTGATAGATTCTTCAGGTGCGTTTTCTCATTATGCACAAGCGTTTATATCAAAACTGACTTCGTGTAGTACTGAGCACTCCTAAGTGTAGGCGCTTGTATTTTCTAGATAGCTTTAATTGACCGTTCCAAAATGAACGTTTTAGGAGAAACGCGTTGCTCCTACGAGTGTGGGTTCCCATATATTCCAAGTTTAGCTATTTCAATACTGAAGCTTTAAGTCACGGAGGGTATAAAAGCGTCACCGACAAGGGTAAGCGAACCTAATTTACCTTCACATATGTAGGGTAGCATGGGACGTCTCGCGATACAGAATGACATCTGCCACCAAGAACACCACGAATCCGGTGATTGTAAGTCATACTTGATGGCAATGAGCTCATCAAATACAAAAGTGGGCCGCAACATGCAAAAACCCTTGTTATTAGCAGTGAACAAAAAGGATTTACAGAGAAAAGTACCTCAAAAACCAGTCCACATATGATATAATAAAAGACTCAGGACAATTGTATTACTCCATTTGTGGCTTTCTCAGATGTGCTTGCCATATATTGACCTGGGCTACAAGAAAAATGCCTAGTGAGTTAGTGCTCGGAAGACGAAGGCCGGTGTTGCTGTCACGAAATGCATTTAAATTGGTTAAGAGTTCGGTATGTACCATCGGTATGTGCCATTGCAATGAGACTGGACATTACGGTGGTGCGATGGTTTGTGTGCCTCTGTGATCCATTGAGCTATACTGAGTGGTGCAAGTTTTGCACCTTCAGAACCAATTATACCAGATTGGTCAATGGTTAGAGGCCAGACAAACTCAGCCTCCTGGTCCTCCAGGTTGGGGGTTGGAATAAGGGTGGCTCCTTATTCCTTAAAACGGACTGCCTGTAGCCCAATGCCAAACCCGCTGCCTTGCGGTCAGGCATTTTAACCAAAGACTTTGGTTGAGAACCCTAATCGTTCTCCTGTCTAGGTTTGGGCAACCTGACAGTATCCTGCCTACGCAGTACAATGAATCACACTTGAAACAAATTTCTGATGCTCTGGCCACCACAGAAGATAATCAACGGTGCCATATCTGCTGCATCGGGCAGGATGGATAGGGGTTTGGATGCAACTGCTCAAGCCTTCCTGTCTTCAAATTCCCTATCTTGCTGTAACGCCCTTATCTACCCACGAAATTCTTCTACTCTTAGCTTCGTGGTCTAGGCTACAGGCCTTGGCCGATCATTGACGGATATCGACCAGCGTTCAAGTGAGCCTCCTTACATTCCCACTGTTAGCGTTGTAGGTGTGCTGTATGTGCATGCTAATCCCCGACACTGGTTCCGTGAGTGTGCGGCTACCGACGACCTTGGATCTCCAACCCTACTCTTCGCCGAAAATGACACGTTCAGCCCGGAGCATGTGTCGCACCCCCTCCCCCGTTCACTGGTCGCTCGTCCAAACACCATGTTTATGCGTGCCATTAAACTCTCACCCTGTGATTGGACCGTCCATGGATTGGCCAAGGTCATTACTCTTAATACTCGTAGCACTCAGGTGTGGTGACTTGTTCCTTTGATTGTCCGGCGTAGACAACTCCTTCCCTCCTATCGTTTACTGACAACTTGTTGTCAACTTGCATACACCGGGATACTGAACAATTGAAGTATGTCCCAATTATCAACTGCATACATTTTAATAGTACCGTAGTATTTGTGATCCGACTTGTTTTGATTTCCGGATCTTTGGCTACGCGTTATTCAACGTTCACGGTAGACGTTACACTTGCACTTTTTCACCCTTATCGACCCTTTTTAGCTTCAATTTTATCCCCCCTCTTTTCAACCCCCAATTCTCGGCCCTCCCCCACGTTGCTTTAATAGTCGCTTGCCTTTTAGTTTCCACTCACATGTGAACGCGGAGCGTCATTCCTGCTCTGTCAACAGGCCCATGTCCAAGCAAGCGGTTCATTCCAGTTCATCGGCTTCCATTTGGAGCCCTCGATCCTCCTTCAGGTTGGCATGCCTCAATGTTCGCACATTGCTTCAGCTCGGTCAACAGGCAGTACTTGCTCGAACATTAGAGACCCTATCGATCGGTATCTGCTGCTTATCGGAGACCCGCCTGTAAGACTCGAGCTCTGTGCTCACTCTGCGGTCCCCTTTAGGTGATACCAGCAGCACTTCCTCGTTGCGCCTATCCGGTGACGATGCAGCTTCGAGCACCAGCCAAGCCGGTGTTGGTATTGCCCTGCGTCCCCGGGCTGAAGCTATTCTGGTTGATTGGATTCCAATCAGTAGCCAGATGTGTGCTGTCCGATTGGCTGGCTCGTTCAAAGCTTCGAAGTCACGTGGGACTAACAGGTGTCTATTCGTTAACGCTGCCTATGCACCGACAAACTGTAGCGATGACTCGGTAAAAGACGACTTCTATCGTCAACTGAACGAGCTCCTTAGCCCAAAAAGAAGCAAGGACACTGAAGTGCTGGCTGGGGATCTGAACGCTCAAGTTGGAAAATTATCCACTGATGAGCTGCATCTGGGCAGCCAACATGGTATAGGCTCCCGTAATGATAACGGTGAGCGGTTACTTCATTTGTGTGAGGATGCTCGCTTATTTCTTGCGAGCACTAATTTTCGACACAGCACCCGCCGGAGGGTGACTTGGCGCCCACCAGCCTCGAACCAGCCTTGGA